GATACGCTTGTGGAGTTGGAGAGGCCTCTCTCTGTTTGGTAAAGTTACAATTATTAAGAGTTTACTACTTCCTAAAGTTTTATACATCTCGTCAATTCTTCCTTCTCCTTTGGAGTTCACAAAGGCCCTTCAATCAATTATATATAATTTTCTTTGGAAGGGTCCTGATAAAATCGCCAGGACAGCAGTAATAAATGATGTTGAATTTGGTGGCCTAAAGGTAACTGATTTTACAACGTCAATTATGTCACTCCGACTTTCATGGATTGGAAGATTTCTAAGCGATAATTTTTATCCCTGGAAAGCGTATCTATTACATTTACTAAAACCTTTTGGTGGAGAATTTTTTCTTCATTGTGATTATAATATTAATGACTATAACATTTCCCCAATATTTTATAAGGAGATGTTACACTGGTGGTCAGATTTTCGTTCTAGATTTGATCTTGTAAGTCTACGTGAAACAATCATCTGGAACAATCATAACATTAGAGTAAACGGCAAACCTTTATTCTATTATAATTATAATAGCGCAAATATTATTCTTTTAAGCGACTTAAAATTTGATTTGAGTAACACAGAGTCCTTTAACCTTGCAAAACGTAATGGTTTAAAAGATTCCAACTTTCTGACCTGGACTGGTGTTCGTTGCGCAGTACCAAGTCATCTAAGAATTCGATGCCACGAAATTAAGAAAGATCATGTCAGATCACTGCAATTTAAAATCGGTGATAAAATCTTTGATCCAGCACTTAGCAAGTCTAGGGATTTCTACGGTTTGCTTATATCCAGTAAGGCGACAGAGTCCAGAGGCTTCACAAAGTTGAAATCTAAATTTTCTATTGATGATGTGGAAACAAAAAAGGCCTTCTCATTAATAAGGTCCTGTATCTGCGAGACATATGTGCAATGCTTTCAATTTAAAATACTAAATGACATTTTATTCACAAATTCCCGCTTAGCTAAGATAGGTTTAATACAAAGCGATCTTTGCACTTTTTGCAATACCAGTGCGGAAACAATTGATCACTTATTCTTTTACTGTGTTTACTCACATGCATTTTGGGAAGAATTTGAATCTTATTGGATCGCTATAGCCAAAGAACAAAGGAAACTTGAGTTAAAGACTATTTTAATTGGTGTCACAGATACTAATTGTTCTTTATTTAATTACTTAATCGTTTTAGGTAAGCTACATTTATGGAATTGCCGTAGGAATAATAGTCTTCCTTTTTTCCCTTCGTATAAGGAACTAGTTAAAAGAAAATATGAAACTGAATGTCACATTGCGGCTAAGTTTAATGATAGGAAGATGCTAGAGGCTAAATGGAAACCCATTTTGAATTATAATTTAATAGATACATAGGTGTGTAAGCGAAAAAAAAAAAAAACTGTAAAAAGTAGGGTAAGGAAAAAAAAAAAAAAATCGACTTACGTCAAAATAGGCGATGCGTCCTTTCGGATCGCTGTCGTATCTCATCTGGATATTTTGTTTACAAGTACCACACAATATTTTTCTTGGCCACTGTACAACTTTCCTCACTCTTTTTTACGGTCCTTTACCTCGACCAGACATTGCATCACTTCTTTCACGCACGTCTTTGCATAGATCTGTGTGCAACGTAACTGTCGAGAGCTGAATTTTGGTTGTAATGTCAAAATGGCAAGACCCAAGAATACGTCATGGGCTACGAATTACAATTTCAAGAAGATTCACGACGATAACTTTTCTATTCGATATGCATCTATAGACTTAAATATCTATACAATCACCTTCATTCAAGTTCTTCTTCTCTTCCTCTGAGGGATCCTCTGGTTCCGACTGTGATACTTCTGTTGGTGTGGGTCGCGTTGGTGTCAAAGTCTTGTTAGAGGAGTTTTCCGTGATAACAGTTGTGGGACTAGTTTTGGAAAAAACAGTTCTTATAGGGTAGACAATAGCTATAATTGGAAGGAAAAAAACCAACATGGGTCTTGAGATAGTGTTTTGCAACTTTTGGGATGAAGAGTGTTTAAAAACCTCTTTGAATAGCTCTCTACATATTCACTCCTCTATCCTATTTGCGTTTTTCCTATTTAGTTCTTAGGTGTCGCCGTCTGTCTTTCTCGAGGTGACTGTTGTAAAAAGTATTCAATTAACATTCAAAGCAAAATAAATAAATAACTCGCGTTGAATTTTATCATTGCCGTTTAGAATGGATGGGAATTCTAATTCAAGCTGATGGTCCGTTTCAATAACAGCGTTCTGCTCTACCATCTTTCTTTGCTTGTCTGTTTTTAATAATAAAAACAACAAAATATTGGCGTAAAAACAGGTCAATCATACTTTCAAATGAGGTAAACAGTAAAACGGTCAAAAAAACTTACCTATTCAATTGTACCTTGACATTCTCAGCCAAAGCTGGTCTTTTTGCTGTTTCTCTGATGTCGGAACATTCACTAACAACGACATAACGGGGATTGTCAACTTTTTGACTGTTAAAGATTAAGACAGTTATAGGCTGTCCGGGCTCCATTTGGTTTGCTTGAAAATTTTAACTGCCCAAGCTTCGACACAAACATGAACAATAGTTGCAATTTCCAAACCATGCTTTCTTTTCTTAGGATCAAAACTCATCGAGCGTTTTAGAGTCTTTGGAGGTTTGAGAGATCGGATTCCACCTCTGCCAACAAATCTCGGTCAATAACGCGGCATAGACAGTCTCATAGTTTGTCCACAGACGTGTTGTCCTTTTATCTTCACCGAATTTCAGCCGTAGGCTATGGCGTACGAGCCCGAGAAACTAATGTTTGTAAAACCAAGCCCCCTCTCCCTCCCTACCGATAGTGATTATTAGTCCCAAACAAACCGGAACAATTTGAGTGGAAGCCCGGTTGTATTCGTATTTAGATCAATTGGTAAATTACTACTTTGTCAACGGACGTTTTCTCTCTCTCTCCAAATATCATCACAAGAGCACGCCGGTGCTAAAGAGTGAAAGAAGAGTGTGACAAATCTTCTTTATCACCCCCTCCACGCATATTCAGCGTACAAATTTCCCATGGCTTTTTTTTTTCCGTCGTATGTTCCTCGATATTTTGACTCTGTGTAGACTGACTCTAGAAAGTGATGACTTATTCAAGTTATTAGGGATTAGGGTATAAGAATGCTAACGTATTAAAAAAAACCTACCAAATGCCTTCTTTTAGCTTTTTAAAAGGCTCTTTTCGTTTCTCTGAACCCGGCATCTAAATTAACACTTCTCACAGTAGTTCTCACCACCTTTTCCCTCCTCGAAGTAAAAAACAAGGCATTTGATCATGCAGTTATCCTGACGAGTCTCACTCATTTTTACCACGCACTGGTCTTTGGCTGGCCGACAGTATGTGTGGTATAGGTCCAGAGGTCAAGTAAAATATAAACGAATACGGCCTGTGGTCAATCAGCACATGTCGTCAAAATCTAGAATAAACTGAAAAAAGAATACACTGCAACACCGGAAATAATTTATTTAACCGAAAACCGTCGGTTTGAAATTACAAACATCGTACACCGTAAGGTTTGAGATCACCGCCACACCGCAATACGAGTTTTTCTTCACCGCAATACCGCATCAAAAAAACGGAGTCAACATCACAACACCGCAAACCCCCCAAAATCCTCTTGAATGAAGACGACTTAACCTAATTATAATTAATGCCACTAGGAAGCTATTTTTAAAAGAAATGAAAAAAAGTATGGTCGCTCCATCCGTTGTCACGTAGATCTCAACTGACTCGGACTAATATCATTTACTTGTGACGGAAAAGTGTCAAATCCGTTACGCACTAAGTAAGTTCGCACGAACTCCATCATACTTGAATATAAATTCAAAAGTTTAATCATGTCGGGGACTTAGTCTTCTCTGATACTAAAGAGAAACTAACAGACCCTTGCGCTAGGTATTGTCATTTAGCCCCTGCCGTGACCTGAACCTATCTTTCTGTCTCAGCAAGATATCGAAATCAACATTGTGAAACTTTTTACAGAAACTTTTTCATTTCAACGAAGTTCAGAACAAAAATTGTTCCTCAAATCTGACAGCTGTCTAACATCTGATAGCATGCTGTTGCGGGGATTTATCTGACAAAGTGATTATCGACCAAAAGAATAATCAAACTTTGTTTGGACCCTTAAAGTATGGATGCATAATGATTTGACTTGATGAGAACTCTTGCTGTAGCCTTGGCCTTGTGAAAGAATTAGAAAAACACGCTTAATAAAAAAATAAGTATCCTAAAGGCCACAAAACAGGGATAGATTGGCTGAGAATATTTTGGTTTTTTTCCATGGGCTATATTTAGAGCCGATTTTGTCACACCTCGTCGATTCTGTCTAACTGGAGCAATTTCGCAAATTGTCAATTGATTTCAAGGTCGAGCGATCAAGCGTAGTCTTTCATAGTTTCAAGCTTACCTGAGCACATCCTTGTCACAACGGGGCAAAATTTTACCAGTAATCACAACAACGTTAAAATTTGTTATCCAACCTTTGGATATATCAGTTTCTCTAATAAATGTTAAACAGATTAAGGAGACCAGTATTCCACTAAGAAATTGAAGTAAACAAAGTTTTTGATAGTTTCGCTCTTGGTTTGAGCAATTTAATATTTATTTCTGAAAGATGAACATGTCGCGTTATTCTAACTTAAAACAGCAAATAGTTCACCATCTTCTACTGAAATTCATCTCTACTTAAATAGTGGCAACGAAGGATACAAAATTTACAGCACATTTGCATAAAAGTAAAAGCTTTAATATTGTTATACAATCAAAACACATCACGACTGTATAAACTTATTTGCCTCTAACATATCATTGTTTTTATAAAGTGTATTTCTACTTCATTTCAAACAATTAAGCATTTAAAACAAGCATTTTAATGCTTGGTTGTACATCACCAAATGGTTCTATGAATGCTTTAATTTACTCCATGTATTGTACCATACTCACCGGCCCTTTAATCACATTTTTTATACAAACTAATGAGTAAGTGAATTTGAAGAAAAGTTGATAGGTCTGATCTTCATTTCAGTTGTCTTGGGAGCACTGTCAACAGCACTGTCGGGAACTAGCCCTGCCCAAGAGATCTTTGCCGATCCATCATCATTATAAACAGCGTTGAGATTTGACAGCCCAGCGCATTTCCCATCGTACCACCAGCTTCCTCCACTTTTTGACGCACATTGAGGACCAGCGTGATGTTTATCAAAGGTACCAAACTTGAGGCCATTATGATGACTGAGAGAATCTTGACTAACAGTCATGTCTTAAAAGATAGGGAAATGGAGAAAATATGCATTTATATCAATATAAGCCCGTAAGATACTACTCTGTAGAGGAGCGAAAAGATTGGAAAAATATGTTATCATCACGACCACCTTAAGGTTGAAAAAAAAAAAAAAAAAAAAAGCAAAACGAAACAAATACGGAACTTGACCTAGTGTGGTCTTGAAACACTTCCATTGAGTCACAAAGAGGCGAGCCGCTCTATCAGTGTGAGAGGCCTTTACATGACTTAGACTAGACACGCTGTGAACAGAGTCGTTTGGCAAACGTGAATTGCAAGTAAATAACAGGATTGGAAGAGACTGAATGGGTCGAAATGTGGATAGAGACCTATAAAGCCAGTTACGTATAATCATGATAAAAGTGAAGCTGCTGTTAACGTTGATTCAGTGCCTTGGGCTTACTTGTATGATTTCCAAGGTTCAGCTTGTATTTCGCTTCCTCGTCTCCAATTTTAAGCCACGCATATTCAGCGTACAAAGTGTTTCTAGAAACCAGTAGCTTCTTATCGTTTACCCCAAGAACTATTCGAAGCCTGTTTTCTGTCTTATTCTCAGTCAAGCGGCGGATCTTCTCCAATCCAAGCCAATATTCACCAACGAGGAAATTACCGAAGCCATGTTTGTAGTCATCCCAGGTGCGGTTAAAATCAACGGAGCCATTCAGTCTCTTTTGGATCACTGTCCATCCTCCACCAGCTGTCGACTGGTCGCAATATACATCAAAGGGAGCTTTGTCATCAGGGTAGATTGTATAAACACCGCTGATTCTTTGATCAGAGTTGTAAAGCTCAGCACAGTTCTTAGCTTTTAAAGATGTCAAGAAAATAGTTTGGTCTTCTATTAGAGTATCAATTAAAGAGTTTAAAATAGGGAAAAAAAAACAAATGATATAGAACCAAGTTAAAGAAACAATACATTGGCTATCACAATATAAAAGAGAGCGAATTCCCACTTACATTTCTCAAATCCAACAACTGAAGATAACAACTGAATCGCGAACAAAAGTGTCACACTTAGCAGCAAAGTGGGCATGATGCAAATATTTTTCTTCTCCGACCTTAAAGCATGAGATTTCATGCACACAATTGTAGACTGAACAATTTACAACTGCTCAACCTTGTATTTATACCCAGCTATTGAAAACTCTGAACGTGATGAGAAAATGCTCGAAGACAATTGTATTCCCCGGGAATCTCCCCTCCTAATTGTGAAGGATGTTTGAAACATACCACAAATGTAACTCATAATCAATTAACATAAGAATATCGACAAAATATTTAAGTGGTAGGAAGTGTGAATACTGCTAATTTGTTCTTATTTGAAGATGTCTCCTTTGCTTGTTCAAACATCAAAACCAAAGAAAAATCCTAGTTAAGTGAAATAAGCTCCTCTAAGAAAAACTGATTAGCAAGCCAAATTCTAAAGCGAAACCTCGTCACTCCTTGAATGGAATTAATTGTTCCGTCAAAATCAGACGGTGACTGTTTAAAACAGTAATACAGTTTAAAGAATTGATATGACGGTCTCATCAAAAAGGTCACGAGGAAAAATTTCTATCAATTTCATTCATAGGTGATCGCATAAGTCTAAGAAATAACGCTAAAATTCCCTAGGTGAATTGAAATCTCTACGTGTCCCGTCGTTATGTTTCTGGCGCATTCTTACGAGTTTACGGAAATCAAGCAGCCCCCGCAGCAACCGTTCTTACAAAAATATTTTCTTTTATAAAACCAAGTGCGTCACAAGCTCACGTTTCGAAAAAAAGGAAACGCGGGATCCTGGATTCCAAGAGCTGGATTCTAGATTCCAACGCCCAGTATTCCGAATTCCACGAGCAAAAATTTCCTGGATTCCGGAATCCGGATTACCTTACATGGGACGAACGGAAGTTTCCCGTGCTGTTCCTTATAACGTATTAAAATCCTAAATGATTCCTCTAGTAATTTAACACCGAGTTCCACAACGTATGACGCTTTCATAAATTCATCGTTTGCTTTTTCTCGAATCGCGAGCCTGGAACGCCTGCGATAAAACAAATTAAGAATTTGAACAGTTAAGTGCCTCAGGTCAGAAAATGTTCATGGAAACCACGTCAGTGGATGCGGCGGAATCTAACTTACACAGTCTATTTTCTGGATATGATAAATACAGGTGAACTTAAAGATTGATTTAATCACATAAACGGTATGAGTTCATTAAGGAATCAAATATTCTATCAAAATCAGGCTATGATTGCATAAAACAGATAACAGTTTATAGAACTGTTGTATTTTGGCCATTTTTTGTTTTTGTTTTTGGAAAGACCACAGGCGATTCAATGTTAGGATCTTAATTTACTGCGAATCTCACTCATAATTGCAAAATGAAAGCGTGAGTCATTTTACTGTAAGCTCTCAGGTGAATTGCCATCTTCAAAAGATGTGGAGTCATCATCTTCGGGGGACATCAACGTAAGAGTCAGCGTGACTCTAACAAACCATGTAGCCACAGCTCTTGAATTTTTTATATGTATATATCCATATAAGAATTTGGAAGTACTCGTAGCCAGAACATTTTCATGGAATGTTTCCGCCTTACTGAAAGCAGCTTCAACAAAATTACACAGTTGAGTCTCTCATTAGAATAAACACAGGTAAACTGAAAAGTTGACGTAGTTTTTAAAATAGGCGATGCAAGAATTTAGAAAAGTAAGGTGCATGAAACTAGTAGTTACACTGCTTAATTCAAAACGTTCATAAGTAAGTCTTTCTGTGAAATTCAAACCGTTAAAAACTCGGAGCTATCATTAGGCAGCTTGTTAAGACTGACATCGATTAGAAATTGATTTCTGATCATTCCATGCAAATTATCTTAATGCTAACACTCAAGGATATATATTCACTTGACATTACACTTTCATGACTGGCGACACACACCATTAATTAACCTAAGAGCAAGATCGGAATTCCGTTACCATTACAATTAGCGGTTTGCTCGTTATTTACAGTGAGTTTACATTGTCCTGCATAAATGAAAAAATTAAAAGGATCCAAATAGGGCAGCTCTCTAAACCTTTGTCTTTTTAATTCGTTATGCGGTTAATATAAATGTTGCGTGCTTTTGATGACACATTTTACTCCTTTAAGGAGAGGTTGAGGTTTCCGTTGCCCATTGAAATCGTACAACCTCAATCATTGACCTAGCGGGAATCCCCAGGGAACATAACACTCCTTTCTTAAGTGTTAAGTATTACGTCTACTTCACTCCGCTTTAATTGCACATGATAACTTCGGTTTGCCATGCAATAGCAAACAGAGCATTTAATCAATTCACTCAAAATAATTAAAGGGGGTACGTTTCTAAAGAAACTGTGGTGCATGCGTCGGTTGGAGAGTATAACTGGGTAATAAAGTATCATCAACTGAGTTAATAACGTAAACTGACCACCGTTAAGAGTTTCAAAGTTGACGTTTCGAGCGTTAGCCCTTCGTCAAAGCGTTATCAACTCATTCGATAATTCTTAATCACCCCTAAACTTTAAGGCAAAAAGTAAATTGCATAGAAAGGTCGCATTTTTCAATGAATCGTGAGTTTATTGTTCTGACTCGCAAAAGATGGAAAATATTTTATTGTAAAATATTTTTTGTGGTTGTCCTGTGTGCGCACGTCCTTCGCTTTTAACTTCCTCTGTTAATTCAAGAAATGATATACAGAAGAAATTTTTCAAAAGTCCTTTTTAAAAGTATTTCCGGGAAATAGAGCATATTCTTATCACGCCCACAGTTATACACCCGTAGAATGAATAAAAGGTTGAGCAGTTGAAATTGATCCAGTCTACAACTGTGCTTCATCATAAAATATACAGCTTTAAGGTTGGCGAAAAAATTTCATCGTATAGTGTCTGCTTCACAAAGTTCTAATTTAAAAATTTCTGATCATTTACTCGCTCCTATTTTCTTTTACTTAACCTCTACAATTTTGTCTTTCTTTGTTTCATGCTCTTTTCCTGTTGCTCTTAATCAAACCAACCAAACTTTAATTATCATTATTTTTTGAACAGCCAGGAACTGTGCTGAGGTTTTCAAAGGCGGTCAAAGAATCAGCGGTGTTTATACAATCTATCCGGATGACAAAGCTCCCTTTGATGTATATTGCGACCAGGCAATAGCTGGTGGAGGATGGACAGTGATACAGAAGAAGTTAGCAAATTATCGTTATCATCAGCCTCAATACCATCACAATTATAGATGACTAACGTTGTAAATCTTAAGCAAAAAATTGACCCATTTTTCCTCTACTAATCCTGTTATTTACTCATCACCTTGGCCAAACGACTGTATTTACTGCAAGTCTCTTCTGAGTCACGTAAATGCCTCTCAAACTGAGGAGGAATCACTGGCAGTTAGTCAATACCACAATGAGACTAATTTTGTTTGTTTTGCTTTGTTTGTTTTTCAACACTGATGTAGCCGAGATCATAACATTCGATTTCCTTCTTCATCTTCTTGCTCCTTAATAATTAAGAGTCTAACGGCTGACTATATATTGATATCAATGTTCATTTCCCAACATTTATTTTGTATAGAGAAGAGAGCCAATCGTGACTCTATCAGTCGTCATAATGGCTCCTAGTTTGTTACCTGGGATAAAGATCCCGCTACAAATAAATGCAGTGGAGGTTTGTGGTACAATGTCAATTCTGCTCCAGGTCAGGATTCAAATCTCAACGGTGTTTATCTGCGTGGTAAAGAGGGCAGGATCTATTGTTCATATTTAGATCTCAGCGACCCTTATAACAGTGCTCCAACAACAACTGAAATGAAGATCAGACCCGTGGACTGTTCTTAAACTCTTTCACTAAGTAGTTTGTGTACGAAATGTAATTGCGTGGAGAGGGTTATAATGTTTGAACAAGCAAAGGAGACATCTTCAAATAAGAACAAATTAGCAGTCTTCACACTTCCTACCACTTAAATATTTTGTCGATATTCTTATGTTAATTGATTATGAGTTACATTTGTGGTATGTTTCAAACATCCTTCACAATTAGGAGGGGAGATTCCCGGGGAATACAATTGTCTTCGAGCATTTTCTCATCACGTTCAGAGTTTTCAATAGCTGGGTATAAATACAAGGTTGAGCAGTTGTAAATTGTTCAGTCTACAATTGTGTGCATGAAATCTCATGCTTTAAGGTCGGAGAAGAAAAATATTTGCATCATGCCCACTTTGCTGCTAAGTGTGACACTTTTGTTCGCGATTCAGTTGTTATCTTCAGTTGTTGGATTTGAGAAATGTAAGTGGGAATTCGCTCTCTTCTATATTGTGATAGCCAATGTATTATTTCTTTAACTTGGTTCTATATCATTTGTTTTTTTTTTTCCCTATTTTAAACTCTTTAATTGATACTCTAATAGAAGACCAAACTATTTTCTTGACATCTTTAAAAGCTAAGAACTGTGCTGAGCTTTACAACTCTGATCAAAGAATCAGCGGTGTTTATACAATCTATCCAGATGACAAAGCTCCCTTTGATGTATATTGCGATCAGACAACAGCTGGTAGAGGATGGACAGTGATCCAGTAGAGACTGAATGGCTTCGTTGATTTCAACCGCACCTGGGATGACTACAAACATGGCTTCGGTCATTTTCTTATTGGTAAATATTGCCTTGGATTGGGAAATATCCGACGCTTGACAGGAAATAAGTCAGAAAACAACCTTCGCGTAGATATGGGAGTAACTAATGACACAACTGTTAACGCTTAGTATGCGTGGCTAAAAATTGGAAGAAAGAAATTTAAGTAGCGGCTGAACATTGGAAATCTTCTAAGTAAGTTAGGAAATTATCGTTATCACCAGCCTCAATACCATCACAATTATATGTAGCTAACGCTGTAAATCTCAAGCAACAAATTGACCCATTTTTTCTTTACCAATCCTGTTATTTACTCATCACTTTGGCCAAGCGACTGTGTTTACTGCAAGTCTCTTCTGAGTCTAGTAAATGCCCCTCAAACTGAGGAGGAGTCACTGGTAGTTTGTCAATACCGCAGCGAGACTAATTTTTTTTTTTTGCATTGTTTGTTTTTCAACATTGATGTAGCCGTGATCATAACATTCGATTTCCCAGTTCATCTCCCTGCTTCTTAATAATTAAGAGTCTAACGGCTGACTATATATTGATATCAATGTTCATTTCCCAAAATTTCTTTTGTATAGAGAAGACAGCCAATCATGACTCTTTCAGTCGTCATAATGGCTCCCAGTTTGTTTACATGGGATAAAGATCCCGCTACAAATAAATGCAGTGGAGGTTTGTGGTACAATGTCAATTTTGTGTAATTGTGAGTGTGTAATTCATTAAGAATTCCGGTTTTAATCGACACATGCGCAAGAAGTGGACGATGATTAGGTGATCGTTTCCTTGGACGGCTGGAATGCGGAGAGGAATCGCCGCGTCTGTGATCCACGAGAGATCAGGGATCGAACATTGCCTAATCGGAAGAGAAAGGGAAGAAACCTTTCCCTTCAGTGAACAATGTCTTCGCTTTAAGAAAACCGACTTTTACTTTTAAATATTACCCAAACTTATGTAAACAAAAAGCTCAAATCACGGTTCGCTTCAATTTCAGGCGTGAATTTGCATAATCTTTCATGGACGAAATCTTTCTGACTTTAAAAGATCAAAACCATTTTCTAAACTAAGTCTATTTTATCTTTATCCACTTAGCAAACAAAGCTTTCCAAATTACAGTCAAAACACCAGACGTAGTTCACTTCGAATTTCTCGATCTATCCTAGTTTTTCAGACCTTAAAACTCTTTCATTAAATAGTTTGTGTACGAAATGTAACTGCGTGGAGAGGGTTGTGAGAACATCATTGCACAGTTAATTAAAGTCATTTGTTATATCAGATGCAATCTGGTGATACAAAATTTAATGTTTTATTTGTTTTGAATGAAGTATGAATGCATTTTATGATGACAGTGATAGGAAAGAGGCAAGTTAATACAGTCGCACTGTTCTTCATTTCTATTCAAGTTTTTGCCCTCTATGCAAATTTGTTGTAAATGTAAATCATTTGTTTTGCACTGTTTAAGACGAGACTAAATTTCAGTGAGAGATGGTAAATTATTTGCTGTTGACAATTAAAATAACCAAACAAAAAAAGCTGTTGCGATGTAATAAATTTAATTTTTTTGCACGAAATGAAACAGCCATTCATAAATATTGGCAGTGTGAAAAGGAATACATTATCGTTATCTTTCAGAATTATGCATAGTTTACGTTGCTGAAAATGAAATTGAAGCGTTGGAATCTTTGTACAACTTCATTTCCTTACGGAAATGTTGGAGTCCTCGTTCTGTAAAAGATTAAGTTGTTACACTGACATATCCACCAGCTTGGACCAAAGATTTTAGATGTCTCTTTAAATCATAAAAGGTCAGCATGCAGGAAATTGAAAGTTGGCAAATCCAAGAAACAATCAGAGGGACCAAAGCGATATTCCTAATTTTTATTAAACAAGAGGTTACACGGAGGCCAAATTCTGGCCTAATTTGCAGTTCAGAGGGAACGAATTGAAGGCCTGGCGGTGTTTAGCAAAATCGTTGTTGAGTGCTTTTCATTGTTTACTTAACGTGGATAGTTATGGAGATTGAGGGCCACTTCACGCTACGCGAAATTTTGTTTGTTTTGCAAAAAAAAATCTGTCAACGCGAAACTGTTTTCAATGCGAACGATTTGTTTGACCCACCAAAATTTTCGCAAGTGCCACCAAGCTTCAGTGATACAATAGAAAATCTATTGTTCCATGACAGATACCCTTCAACTGGTCATCATATTTCGTAATTGATACCAGGCTAAATGGTATTATGTACGAGTGTTTTCTCTCTGAACGTAGCCTCTTAAGAATGTTAGTAAGTTGTCGAGTGACTCTCTCCCCATTTTCTAATGTCTACGGAAAAAGGCTTCAGGGAAGTAACGCTGGTGCATGTGGATTTCAAACCAGGATTCTATAGGTGGGGGAAATGTCCAATACGTGTGAAAACCACGGCGGCGTCGACTTCTGCTGAGCAGCTGAGTTAACGTCTCCATGATCCGTACAAACCGAATCCTTCCCAACAAAACCAGAATTAATTGTTGACTAGCCACAATCAGGTTTTGTATAGAAAGCAAACAGCCAAGAAGGGCCATTAAAACATATCGCGGGAGTATTTTGCTTTGCGATCAGTCTTTGACATGAAACGACTTAAAAGGAAACGCACTGTCAAATCTCGTTAACTATTCCGATTGATCGACATTTGTGGTTACACAATCATATAATTTGCACGTCTCAAGTGCGAACGCTATTGGGAAAACAAAAAATTCGTTGTTACAAAATTTTCAATTTTTTCTGCGAATACCAAACCAAATTTTTCGGTGTGGTGCGAACAGGGCCAAAGACTTAGGAACAAGTTGATGCCATGACAAATTGGAAATACTAAAATCGCTGGATGAAATGCGGGGACTAACGTAAGTACCGCGGCAAAGTCAGCAGAAAAGGAATAAGTCAATTTGTGACTTAGCTTTAGTCACGGAGAAATCCAGAATGACCGGTAACCATCCAACTCCGCAGAAGGATAACCGCATACCTGGGGCGTTCTACAAAACAAGTAAATGTGTTGGGTCCAAATAAACCTTCCAATTTGGACCCAACAAATTCAGCAGCTCCCAGTTTGCTTGTTAGCTCAGTTGGTAGAGCGCTGCACCGGTATCGCAGAGGTCATGGGTTCAAATCTCGTATGCGCCTGAATTTTTTTCAGCTCCTTTTTTCAGCTACTCGTTTCAGTAGTGTTCTTAGCTGCGAGGATCTCTTAATTTCATCTCTTCACCGCAGTGCATGTGATGAATTTCATATATATAAAATCGTCAAGACAAAAGCTGTCAAAAGTGTCAAACCATCAAAGTTCACAGTGTGCGATAGTTTACAGACTAAAATAGTTCGGCAGGTCGAACTTAACGCTTTTGCCTGAAGTTTTTAATACAGAATCTTGAAGTGAAATGTAAGTGAACTTGAGCCGAATTATGGCTCATAAAAACGTGCGATTTTTTTCACATGACAAGGTAGAAAACAAACTGTTCAAGGAGAGTGTTTTTTAAATGAACTACAGCCGAATTCACCGGAACATCAAGATCGCTCGGGGTGACAGCGCCGTAAAACTCGGCTGCAGTGACTGAGGTGACTTTCCACTCAACGCATCGGGAAGGATATCAGAGCGAGCTCTTATTTTTTCACACGAAGGGCGGCCGATGTAGTCTCTGAAGCTTGCTTTACTGTGATGACCGGAGATCGCCATGATAGACGAGCCGCGATGGACTTCAGCATGATCATATTTGCTCGGACACCGTCATGATTAGTACGAATTTTAACAGTTATGCCTGTTTGGTTAAATTTTTCATCATTTCTGTTTTGTTCTGTTTTGTTTTTGAATACGAGTGTTAGCTGTGTTTAATTTTTATTACCGTAGGTAAGCTTGCAATCTAACTGAGCGTGAAAATCTTTAAAACTCGGAATGTCTATTTTGTTTTTCCTTTGAGGATTTTCGTATCTGCTCACGTTTAATAACGTAAATTAGGGCGCCTGGTATGTTTACAAACCTTTGTTTGGTTCTTCTGTTGCTACTTGCCGGCTCGCCTGTTCCGAAATTTCACTTTTCTCATAGAGCACGCTCTTTCAACCAATGGCAGCGCGCGTTATATCCCAACTTTATTATAACTCACAGTAGCTCAATAAATATTTGCATTTGAACGCGATGATCTTTGTTTACAAGGTTTTCTCCCGCTTACATCTCATAACAAGCCTTTGAAGTTTTTTGCCTCGGAACGATACACCACAGAAGGCATTTTATGGACCGCAAGTGTTTCGACTGATTGAAATTAAAGATATGTAGCGGTGACTTTAATATTTTTTTGTTTTTTCTCGGTTTTTTCGTCCGCTAAAGTAATCATTGCCAATTTTTGCATAAGATAATTGAATTGATCAAGCAAATTAAATCAGTCAGCCAAAAAACTTTAACTATTCCCATGGTTGCTGTTTTTGATCAGTACGTTAATAACTGAAGCAAGTCACAGTATTAGGCTTGTGCTTGAAATGAATATTTCAAAGTTTACTCGAAAGATAAGTATAAACCGTCACAAGCTTGGTTATCGTTTACGCGCGGCCCAGCACTTCGAGCATGGATACACTGGATACCAAAACTCAACCTCGTTCCCAGGCTATATCCATCAAATTCCTTAACGCCAATTAAAAACTGCCACGTAGCAATTATCGTTCATTTTCCTGCGGAGGAAAAAAACTAAACCGAATTCCTGATTCTGGTCCGTTTACGACCAGGATAAAAGATTATCCCTACAAATACAAAAAGCTTTCATGATTCCATTTATTTACTGCACAACATTTATCTCAACGTTTTCTTAGAACGTTTATAATTGACCTTAAAGAGGGGGACATGGGGGGTTCTGAATACCGCAACACCGCAAACAAAATAGTGAAAACACGGCATAGAAATATTATCAAAACACGGACACCGCAACATTAAAAAAACGTCAGTACCATTACTTCTACTTTTCAAACATAAGGAACCAGGAGCCCAGTACTTAGTAATGGGCTCCTGAAGGAACACATCACATGACATTCCTACCACATTCTCCGCATGTAAAATTCCTTGTTGTCGCGTACACCTCATTATAAACACATGACTTCAACGGTGAGCCAAAGAAGTTACCGTTGCCAAGTGGTACGACAGTGTTTCCGTTAGGTCAGTCTTGCGTCCTCTGAAGTTGGAATATATTCCCACGAAAAGTAAAGTTCACAGTTTGCCTAAAAAGGGTTGTTGAACTTCCAAATTTCTCCTTACAAATAATTTCCGCTTTCGTCGCTGGCTCCTTCATCACCCTCATCGCTGCTTTCGTCGTACTCAGGCTTATCTACGGATTCATCTTTAGCTTGCATCATCTCCAGGTTCTCCATCTTTCTGTTCATTGGCTTCTTTGAATACGGCATTTACGGGTTTGTAAAAAACGATGCAGTGTCGCTGGTATGTAAACTCAGTGAGAATGCCATGCTTTGCCATGGTCGTCTCTTGGTGCGCTGTCATTGAGGTCCATTAAGGGCGCTGGTAACGCCAGTACTCATTCGGATCCCGTTGGTGTTCCTCTCCAGAAGCTCTTTACACTGGCGGACAAGGGAGAGTGCTTCATCGGCAGACTTAACAAAATAACCTGTTCCTTTACAATGGATGGAAAAGGCGTCAAAAATCTGACCAACAGAGTTGAAAAATCTGGCGCACTCGACCATTTTAGTGCAGATCTTGATGGAATTTGTCCGGGCATCACAGATATAAATGACGTTTTCAGACTCCGTGCAGATGCCCATCGGTTGTCGAAACTGGCAATCCTTAAATTCCCCATCACACTACCTTCCCCTCATTCGCAGCCGGCAAAAACCTCGACCTCTCCATTTGTCTTGATCGTACATAGAAATGCCCGGTTTTGATTACTAAAGTTGATTTGTGAGCCAAACTAGTCAACATGCATGGCTAGTTGAACTACGGTGACAGACTACGCTTCTTCCAGAGAAATTTTGCTGATTCCCTCGCAATGTGACAAGAAAATGCATTCCACATGCAGATACATGCTGTAGATCTCTTGCCATGAATGCCCCTACTTAATGATTTCTTGCATGTTTACCCCTCTCAGCCCAACGCCATCCTTTTCCACTTAAAAAGTGACAATCACTTGGATGTCCTTTCTCGAGGTGTGTATCAGTTCATCGTTGGCGCACTGTATACTTTTAAAAGATGGCTGTCTTTCAAAATTCCAGAAATGGATTTCATCAGCCTTTATTTTATCCAGAGTATAGCTGGATTTGAGGGATGAAAAGTAGATCTTTAACCTTTCCTTTGTTTCTCCAACAGTCCCCACGGATGGCAGGTAGAGTCGATTTACAAGGTTGATGAAATCATCCTTTTTTCGTGGCTGGGACAAGATGTTGATTGCCCTGTCTGCAAACGGAATTGCTTTGATAGGCCCATCGTCAGAAGTTAGGAAGATCATCCTGTCAGCACAGCGGATATCCCTTGCTTGGGGATTTTATCTGATGGCTGAAATTTTCTCAACAGCACTATGCAAGCGAGCTTTGTAAAGTGTAGACAAGGAACTCTTGACATCATAGGACAGAAATGCTATCCATCCGGAAGACGGAATGGCGATGCTAATCGGCTTCGGAAACATACCAAGCTGGGTGTCAGGAGAATATCTGTCTAGTTCTGAGATGATTGTATGACAGACGTAACCAACGTCTTTCAACTCAGTGGTTAACTTAGTGTTGCAAAGGGTGAGAACGGAAGATGGATCTTGTCTATCTTTGTTCTTAACATGATCGTTTTTTGTGATAAGCTTTCTTAAAGTGGTTTCGTTTCTTAGTTTGAGCGATTTCTCAAAGTCCGTATCAAAGCCAAGTTGATACGCTCCCCATTATATTTCAGCCACGAGTTGGAGAATGCTGCTTTCATACTTTTACCAACATGTGGACAATCCGGTAAAACCAACAAAAATGTGCGTCTCAAAGGCGTTTTTGTTGCCACTTTCGCAGTCACTGCAAACTGTCCTCGGAACTTGACGAAAACAGTCCCGACATGTATCGCAGAAGCATAGGGAAGGTAAATAACTGACCTTCCCCAATAATTTACAATCATCGCAGACTCTCGTTGAATTATAATACACTTCACAAAAGCTTGTGTAGCTTGTTCCAGGGTAGGAGATAATATGATTCGCACGATTGTAGAGTTTCGATGTGTTCTCTGAAAAGGTCTACCATAGCTTGGCTGGCAGTTTTACCTCTATGTGTGGTGTAATCAACGGTCACACGCAGGGAACAAAAGTTGTCCAGAGGTGTCAGGGATGCAACGATTGATTCTGTGACTATATTATCCTTAAGATACCTGGGGGAGGGTGATGGATTTAAACGTGTTGAATATCGACTGGAGTTTTTTGATCGATGTTTTCCTTTAACCGAGAATCGAACTCAATGGCAAGTTTCCAAAGCCGTTCCGTCGTTGGCGAAAACACAGAGAATCACGTTTAGCTTAGGTGTTTTGATGAACGATTTAGCTCGTGAGTTTTCCAGTAGTTCCATATGGCCTTACTGTGATGGCTTGATAACCCCTGACTCTGGTGTATATCTGGCCTGGTACTTTGCACACACAGATTCCGAAAGTCCTCCGAGATTCATTTTCTTGTCTGTTAGATTCATGTGGCTATTTCGGCCATCTCCTAGATTCATCGGCCCCCTGATAAAACACTTGGTGCACTTGCTGTTTAGGTAATGGTATTGAAAAATTCCACGACTTCTTGATCGTATTCGTGGAAGGGGTTGTACATTATTCCTAGAACATCATTAATATATTTATAAAGGATCCTTTCCTTTAACAATTTTCCTCGACGAAGAAGGTCTTGGAGCTCAACACATACAGTATCTGACTCTTTAACACCGACATATACAGTGAAGAGAACATTTCTACCAATACTGTCATCTGACAGCACTTCTTTTACTTCACTGCATGGGCAAGCCCCTGCTGAATCAGCATCAACATCTGAGTGAGCAAGTTCCCTATCAGTGGTATCAGAAAATAAAACGGACTTTAGTTTATTCCTTTTAAGTGTCAGCATATCAAACTTTGCCTATTGTTATGGTTGGGATTTTTTAATACAATGGGCCTTTTGTTATCCATCCTTAGGGACTTTTCTATTTAGTATCACGAGCTTTTACTCGGCTTGATTCGGATTCATTCGGCAATTATTATGACAATAAACCGCTCTAACAGTAGATATTTCAAATATAATTGGTTATGACGCTTTTTAATTCTTCGCTTGAGACAGAAAGCTTTCTCGCAACTTGTTTGGCGCGCATTACAACAGGCCAGCAAAAATACTTAAAAATACTTGTAACTTCGCTTCAGTTTCGATTTCTTTTACGATAGTTGTGTGGCATATTCCATTCGTATTTTAAGATACAAACTGTCGTCCTTTCTCTACCTCGAAATTCTGCGTTTATTTGCGGGAAAAAGGAGAGAACTTTACACAGCCGACAGCCTGCTCTCCATGTAACAAATTTACCCTTCCGTCCCCCGGCAAGTTTGCCGTTGCTCTAGACAACTTCTCCCTAGGCCCACCCCGAGAAAGAAAGATTTTGTCACATTCAGGTCATTAACGAAGTTTTTGAATCTCGCGCTCGGAAATCGGATACGCGTCCGTTCTTTCAAACCTTTGTTCTTATAACAAAAGAGCCTCAAAGCTGTCAACAATGACAATGCCCATAAAAGGATAAAAAAAATCGTGCCATTGTTAGCAAAATCCCAACCCAAACAATTTTCCTCGACGAAGAAGGTTTTGGAGCTCAACACATACAGTATCTGACTCTTTAACACCAACATATACAGTGAAGAGAACATTTCTACCAATACTGTCATCTGACAGCACTTCTTTTACTTCACTGCATGGGCAAGCCCCTGCTGAATCAGCATCAACATCTGAGTGAGCAAGTTCCCTATCAGTGGTATCAGAAAATAAAACGGACTTTAGTTTATTCCTTTTAAGTATCAGATAGGTCAACGTCCTACCCTTGGCCTTTTATTAGTTTCTACTTTCTCAGCTTCAGACGTTCGCTTCACTCCAAACATGTCCGTTACTTTTTTTTTTTTCGCACGGCCTGTAATGTTTTAGAGCGACATCTGGACTAATGATCTATAGCAACAAGAAATAAAAAGATCGAAATGTAACAAATAAACGTAGATTTCTTGAACTACTGCATGTATTCTTAATTGAACAACGGGTTTTGAAACATCTAACTTTTTCTTTAAAAAAACCCCTTGGTTTCATCAGTTCTTATGTATTTTTGTACTAGACTTTTAAATTTGGCTTTAGGGTCCTTTAGATGGAATCATGAATGCTATATAAATTCCTTGTCTAACTGTCGTTTATTCTATCTTCTTTGTGCGCTACCATTTAGTATTAGAAACAAAGACGGTCAAAACTAAAATCATGGACTCGATGGCAAGAATTCAGTCTTCAAACACCACCGGAATCAAAATTCTAAGATCTTGAACTCTGGATTCCCAACTAAGAATATGCAGTGTGGTGCTACCATGGATTTCGAATCACTTTTCATGCAGTAAACGTAAAGTAAATATCGACATACGTCGATATTTACTGTCGTATCTCATCTGGATATTTTGTTTACAAGTACCACACAATATTTTTCATAGTCACTGTATAGCTTTCCCACTCCGTTTGTTTGTTTGTTTTTTTTTTTAAACATCTGCATGTTTAATGCACCGTATCAGCTTACTCTCGCATCTCTTGACCAATTCTAAACAATAACAGTTAAGTATTTATAGTCTGAATAAGTTCTGGGTAGTTTCAGCAGTAGCGATGATATGTGACCAAGACCGTTTCCTCAAGAAGTATATCCTCCAGTTAAAATACTTGCTACGAAAATCACGTGAGATACCATGGGCTCTTTACGGTCCTTTACCTCGACCAGACATTGCATTAAGCATCCCACTTTCACGCACGTCATCGCACGGATCTGTGTGCAACGTAACTGTCGAGAGCTGAATTGTGGTTGTAACGTCAAAATGACAAGACCCAAGAATACTTACTGGGCTACGAATTACAATTTCAAGAAGATTCACGACAATAACATTTCTATTCGATATGCATCTATATGCTTAAATATTTAAACAATTACCCTCATTCAAGTTCTTCTTCTTTTCCTCTGAGAGATCCTCTGGTTCCGACTGTGATACTTCTGTTGGTTTGGGTCGCGTTGGTGTCAAAGTCTTGTTAGAGGAGTTCTCCGTGATAACAATTGTGGGACAGATTTCGGAAAAAAACAATTCTTATAGGATAAACAATAGCTATAATTGGAAGGAAAAAACCAACATGGGTCTTGAGATAGTGTTTTGCAACTTCTGTGATGAAGACTGTTTAAAAACCTCTTTGAATAGCTCTCTACATATTCACTCCTCTATCCTATTTGCGTTTTTCCTATTTCGGTATCGCCGTCTTTCTTTCTCGAGGTGACTGTTGTAAAAAATAATCAATTCACATTCGAAGCAAAATAAATAAATAATTCACGTTGAAGCTTATCATTGCTGTTTAAAATGGATGGGAATTCTAATTCAAGCTGATGATCCGTTTCAATAACATAGCATTCTGCTCTACCATCTTTCTTTGTCTGTCTGTTTTCAACAATAAAGGCAAAAAATATTGGCGTAAAAACAGGTCAATCATACTGTCAAATGAAGTAAACAATAAAACGGTAAAAATAACTAACCTATTCAATTGTACCTTGACATTCTCAGTCAAACCTGGTCTTTTTGCCGTTTCTCTAAAGTCAGAACGTTCACCAACAACGACATAACATAGATTGTCAACTTTTTGACTGTTAAAGATTAAGACAATTATAGGGCTCCATTTGGTTTGCTTGAAAATTTTAACTGCCCAAGCTTCGACAGAAACATGAACAATAGTTGCAATTTTCAAACCATGCTTTCTTTTCCTAGAATCAAAACTCATTGAGTATTTTAGATTCTGGAGGTTTGAGAAATCGGATTCCACCTCTGCCAACAATGTTCGGTCAATAACGAGGCTTGGCATGGCAGGCTCATAGTTTGTCCAAAGACGTGTTGGTCCTTTTGTTTTCACTAAATTTCAGCCGTAGGCTATATATGGCGTCCGAGCCCAAAAAACTAATGCTTGTAAAACCAAGCCCCCTCTCCCTTCCCTACCGATAATGATTATTGGTCCCAAACAAACCAAAACAATTTCAGTGAGAGCCTGATTGTATTCGTATTTAGATCAATTGATAAATTACTACTTTGTCCACAGACGTTTTCTCCCTCTCCAAATATCATCACACAAGCTCGCCGGTGCTAAAGAGTGAACGCAGAGTGTGACAAATCTTCTTAATCACCCCCATTTCTCCTCCCCTTTCCCCCTTGCAATCTCCGGTATCAAATTTTCCGTGGCTTATTTTTTTCCGTCGCATGTTCCTCGATATTTTGACTCCTGTAGACTGACCTCTCAAAGTTGATGACTTATTCAAGTTATGAGGGTATTAGAATGCTAACATGTTTAAAAAACCTACGTAATGCTTTCCTTTAGCTTTTGAAAGGCTCTTTTCGTTTCTCTGAACCCAGCATCTAAATTAACACTTCTCACGGTAGTTCTCACCATCTTTTCCCTCCTCGAAGTAAAAAAACAAGGCATTCGATTATGCAGTTATCTTGACGAGTCTCACTCATTTTTATCACGCGCTGGTCTTTGGTTGGCCGACAGTGTGTGTGGTATAGGTCCAGAGGTCAAGTAAAAAATAAACGAAAACGGCCTGTGGTCAATCAGCACATGTTGTCAAAATCTAGTTTCTAAAAGAGTTAAAGAATAAACTGCAACACCGGAAATGGTTTATTTCACCGGACACCGTCGGTTTGAAATTACAAACATCGTACGCCGTAAGGTTTGAGATCACCGCCACACCTCAATACGAGCTGTTGTTCACCGAAATACCGCATCCAAAAAGAAAAAAAAAGAGTCAACACCGCAACACCGGAAACCATCATAAATCATTTAGAATGAAGTCGAGGTAACCTAACTATAATTAATGGCAATGGGAAGTTATTTTTAAAAAACATTTAAAAAAAATATGGTTACTCCATCCGTTGTCACGCAGATCTCAACTGACTCGGATCAATATCCATAACTTGTGACGGTAAACTGCGGTTTTGTCACGGTGAAGTGAATATCTTTATTGGAGGAAATAACCTCAAAGCTGTCAGTCTCGTGTCAAATCCGTTACGCACTAAGTAAGTTCACACGAACTCCATCATACTTGAATATAAATTCAAAAGTTGAAATATCGGGGACTTAGTCTTCTCTGAGACTAAAGAGAAACTAACAGACCCTGGCGTAAGGTATTGTCCTTTAGCCCCTGCCGTGACCTGAACTTATCTTTCTGAAACAGCAAGATATCGAAATCAACATTGTGAAACTCTTATAGAAACTTTTTCATTTCAACGAAGTTCATGGAGGCATGGAGGCTGTTGCGAGGATTTATCTGAGGTCTAGACTAGAAAAACCTTGGCTTTAAGTCAGGGAGCTGCTGCATAACGTAAATAGATAATCAGACATCAAACCCCGCAAATCAAGCGACCTTACATGTTTGACCTCCCAAAGGTTGCGTTCATAGAGCAGAAACACATTTGAAAAGGATGTATTGAAACGGCCAACCATTAAGTATAAACATCTATATCCCTTCTTCTCTATATCTATTAATTCATACTGTTCGTTTTTAAACCATTTAGGCGAACAGAAAAATTACGAGGAAGTTCCGAATGGCAAGGGAGTACAAAAGACGTTTGAACTTGATTTCATAAAAAAACAAAAACAAAAACAAAAAAAGCAATCTAAACACACGGACCATCTGTTAGCTGTTTTGTGCATCTAATTTACCTAAAGCTGCACAGCTATTAGATCTTCTTAAGAAATGATTTAATGAACGTCAGTCGGGAATGACAAAGTGATCATCGACCAAAGAATAACCAAACTTTGTTTGCATCCTCCAATTATGGTTGCATTGTGATTTGACTTGCTGAGAACTCTTGTCGTAGCCTTGGCCTTATAAAAGAACTATTAAAAGAAAAACACGTTCAATAAAAAGATAAGTGTCCTAATGGCCACAAAACAGTGATAGATTGGCTAGGAATATTTTCGTTTTTTTCCAAGGGCTATATTTAGAATCGATTTTGCCACACCTCATTGATTCTGTCTAACTGGACCAATAACGCAAATTGTTAATTGATTTCAAGGTCAGGCGATCCAACGAAGTCTTTAATAGAGAATATACCAAGGACCGGACCAAGTTTCGAGCTCAGCTGAGCACATCTTTGTTCACAATGGGGCACAATTTTACCGGCAATCACAACAAGGTTAAAATTTTTGATCTAAGCTTTTGGATATATAAGTTTTTCTCATAAATGTTAATCAGATAAAGGAGACTAACATTCCACTGAGGAATTGAAGTAAACAAAGATTCCAATAGTTTTGCTCCTGGTTTAAGCAATTAAATCTTTATTTCTGAAAGATGAATAATTAAGTAAGTCTCCTCACCATCGCCAATATTTTTAAAAAGCCGTTCTATTACATTTGAAAATTTACTTCTTTACATCTCAATAGCTTCAAAGCTGGTGTTCGTTATTCTAACTTACAAGTTAGATAGTTCACCATCTTCTACTGAATTTTATCTCTAATTAAATAGTGGCAACGAAAGACACAAATTTGCAGCAAATTTGCATAAAAATAAAAGCTTTAATATTTGTATACAAACAAAACACAGCACGACTGTATAAACTTATTTGCCTCTTACATATCATTGTTTTTATAAATGCATTTCTACTTCATTTCAAACAATCAAGCATTTGAAACAAGCATTTTAATGCTTGGTTGTACATCATCAAATGGTTATATGAATGCTTTACTTTACTACGCTTATTGTACCATACTCACCGGCCCTTCAATCACATTTTTAAACAAACTAATGAGTAAGTAAATTTGAAGAAAAGTTCATAGGTCTGATTTTCATTTCAGTTGTCTTGGGAGCACTGCCAGCAGCAAGTTTGCGATCTAGCCTTGCCCAAGAGATCTTTTCCGATCCAGCGTTGAGATTTGAGAGCCCAGCACATGTCTCATCGTACCACCAGCCTCCTCCACTTTTTGACGCACATTTAGGACCAGCGTGATGTTTATCAAAGGTACCAAACTTGGAGCCATTATGATGACTGAGAGAATCGTTACCAACAGTCATGTCTAAAAAGAAGGGGAAATAGAGAAAATAAGCATTGATATCAATTTAAGCCCGTAAGATACTACCATGTGGAGGAGCGGAAAGATAGGATAAATATGTTATCATCTCGACCACCTTAAGGTTGAAAAAAAAAAAAAAAACAAATTTGGAACTTGATGTAGAGTGGTCTTGAAACACTGCCACTGAGTCACAAAGAGGCGAGCCACTTTATCAGTGTGAGAGGCCTTTGCATGACTTAGATTAGACACACTGTGAACAGAGTCGTTTGGCAAACGTGAATTGCAAGTAAATAACAGGATTGAAAGAGACTGAATGAGTCGAGATGTGGATAGAGACCTATAAAACTAGTTACGTATAATCATGATAAAAGTTTAGCTTCTATTAACGTTGATTGTCTTGGGCTTACCTATAATATTTCCAAGATTCAGCTTGTACTTCGCTTCCTCGTCTCCAATTTTAAGCCACGCATATTCAGCGTAAAAAGTTTTTTTAGGAACTAGTCGCTTCGTAGCCTTTACCCCAAGAACTACTCGAAGCCTGTTTTCTGTCTTATTTTCGGTCAAGCGGCGGATCTTTTCCAATCCAAGCCAATATTCACCAACGAGGAAATTACCGAAGCCATGTTTGTAGTCATCCCAGGTGCGGTTAAAATCATCGGAAACTTTCAGTCTCTTTTGGATCACTGTCCATCCTCCACCAGCTGTTGTCTGGTCACAATATACATCAAAGGGAAGTTTATCATCAGGATAGATTGTATAAACACCGCTGATTCTTTGATCAGAGTTGTAAAGCTCAGCACAGTTCTTAGCTTTTAAAGATGACAAGAAAATAGTTTGATCTTCTATTAGATTATCAAGTAAAGAGTTTAAAATAGGGAAAAAAACAAATGATATGAAACCAAGTAAAAGAAACAATACAGTGGCTATCACAATATAACAGAGAATGGCTTCCCTCTTACATTTCTCAAATCCAAAAACTGAAGATAACAACTGAATCGAGAATAAAAGTGTCACACTGAGCAGCAAAGTAGGCATGATGCAAAGTTTTTTTTCTTCTCCGACCTTTAAGCATGAGAGTTCATGCACACAGTTGTAGATTGAAGAATTTACAACTGCTCAACCTTGTATTTATACCCAGCTATTGAAACCTCGAAACGTGATAAGAAAATGCTCGAAGACAACTGTATTCCTCGGGAATCTCCCCTCCAAATTGTGAAGGATGTTTGAAACATACCACAAATGTAACTCTTGATCAATTAACGTAAGAATATTGACCACATATTTTGAGTCGTAGTGAGTGTGAAGTCTGTTAATTTTTTTTTTCTTTAAAGATATCTCCTCCTGTGCTCGTTCAAACATCAAAATCAAAGTAAAATCCTAGTTCAGTGAAATAAGCTCCTATAACAAAAGCTGATTAGCAAGCCAAATTCTAAGGCGAAACCTCGTCATTTCTTAAATGTAGTTAAAGAATTAATGTATGTTGACTGTCTTATCAAAAAGGTCACGAGGAATAATTTTTTTTTATCAATTTCATTCATAAGTATCGCATAAGTCTAAGATATAACGCTAAAGTTCCTTAGATCGATTGAAATCTCCAGGTGTGCCGTCACTATTTTCGTGGCGCATTCTTACGAGTCAACGGAAATCAAACTGCCCCCGTAGCAACCGTTCTTACAAAAATATTTTCTTTTAAAAACTCAAATGCGTCCCATGGTCACGTTTCGGAAAAAAAGCAAACGATAAATTCACGAAGGCGTCACGCGTTGTGTGACTCGGTGTTACGAGAGGAATCGTTAAGAATTTCAACATGTTATAAGGAATAGTATGGGGTACGAAATACGGTCGATTTATAACGATTTCGAAATATAAACAGTTTACACGTAAAATCATTAGAAATTACTCACACATGTGTGTCCGTTGTAGTTTCCGGCTTTCTTTGCTGTTGAAGCTTGTTTTGCCATCACTGTTATTTTTGTTATAAGACGGAAGTTCCTTATAACGTATTAAAATCCTAAATGGTAATATAATAATATATATATATATATATATATATATATATATATATATATATATATATATATATCTATAAGAATTTGGAAGTACCCGAAGCCAGAACGTTTTAATGGAATGTTTCCGCGTCACTGAAAGCAACAAAATTACACAGTTTTGAAAGGTTGATGTAATTGTTAAAATAAGCAAAGCAAAAATTTTGAAAGGTAAGGTGCATGAAACTGATCGTTACGCGGCTTATTTCAAAACTTTCATAAGTAAGTCTTTCTATGAAATTCAAACCGTTAAAAAATCGGAGTTATCATTACGCAGCTTGCGTAAGACTTGCATCGATTAGCAATTGATTTCTGATCATTCCATGCAAATTATCTTAATGTTTCCACTCAAGAATATAAATTAGACATTACACTTTCATGGTTGGCTACAGATAACATTAATTAATCGGAATCCGTTACCATTATAATTAGCTGTTTTTTCGTTATTTATAGTGAGTTTACATTGTTCTGCAAAAATGAAACAAATAAAAGGATCCAAATAGGGCAGCTCTCTAGAATTTTGTCTTTTTAATTCTTTATCCGGTTAATACAAGTGTAGCGTGCTTTTAATGACACATTTCACTCCTTTAAAGGGGTTTGAGGTTTCCGTTGCCCATTGAAATTGTGCAACCTCGTCATTGACCTAACGGGAATCCCCAGGGAACATAACACTCCTTTCTTGAGTCTTAAGTATTACATCTACTTCACTCCGATTTAATTGCACATGATAACTTCGGTTTGCCATACAACAGTAAACAGAGCATTTAATCAATGTGCTCAAAAATAATTGAAGTGAGTACGTTTCTAAAGAAACTATGGTGCATGTGTCGGTTAGAGAGTATAACAGGGAAATAAAGTATCATCAGCTGAGTTGATAACGTAAACTGGCCACCGTGAATTACCCCCAAACTTAATGGCAAAAAGTAAATAGCGTAGAAAGGTCGCACTTTTCGATAAATCGTGAGTTTATTGTTCTGACTCGCAAAAGATGGTAATATTTTATTGTAAAATATTTTGTCTGGTTGTAGTACGTGCGCATGTCCATCGCGTTCAACTTCCTCTGTTCATTCAAGAAATGACATACAGAAGCAAAGTTTCAAAAATCCTCCTTTAAGAGTATTTAGAGGAAATAGAGTTGCCTTCAATCATATTCTCATCACGCCTACAGTTTCACACCCTTAGAATGAATAAAAGGTTACGCAGTTGAAATTGATGTAGTCTACAACTGCGCTTCATCATAAAATATACAGCTTTAAGGTTAGTGAAAAAAATTCATCGTACAGTGTCTGCTTCACAAAGTTCTAATTTAAAAAGTGCTAATTATTTACTCGCTGTTTGTTTCTTTTACTTGACCTCTACGAGTTTGTCTTTCTTTGAAATTTCATGCTCATGTTTCATGCTCTTTCTCTGTTGCTCTTGATCAAACCAACCAAACTTTAATTGAATTGAAAGCGATCTTCGCAGTAATGAACACTACTTAAGTAGTAGTGAAAAGAAGGCCTGAAAAAAATTCAGGCCTGTGCGGGTATCGCAGAGGTCATGGGTTCAAATCCCGTACAGGCCTGAATTTTTTCCAGGCCTTCTTTTCACTACTACTTAATAAGTAGTGTTCATTACTGCGAAGATCGCTTTCACATTCACGTCTTTAACCGCAGTTCAAATATATGACTCCCACAACCGTTTATTCACCACTTCACGGGTTTATTTGGAACCAACACAGTGACCAGCTCCCAGTTGGATTGTTAGTTCAGTTGGTAGAGCACTGCACCGGTATCGCAGAGGTCATGGGTTCCAATCCCGTACAGGCCTGAATTTTTTTCAGGCCTTCTTTTCACTACTAAGTAAGTAGTGTTCATTACTGTATCAGTTCAAATATATGACTCCCTTATATTCACAACCGTTTATTCAAACTTTAATCATCATTATTTTTTGAACAGCCAGGAACTGTGCCGAGGTTTTCAAAGGCGGTCAAAGAATCAGCGGTGTTTATACAATCTATCCTGATGACAAAGCTCCCTTTGATGTATATTGCGAGCAGACAACAGCTGGTTGAGGATGGACAGTGATACAGTAGAGGCTGAATGGCTTTGTTGATTTCAACCACACCTGGGATGACTACAAACATGGCTTCGGTAATTTCCTCATTGGCAAATATTGGCTTGGATTGGAAAAGATCCGCCGCTTGACGGGAAAACAACCTTCGCGTAGATATGGGAGTAACTAATGACACAACTGTTAACGCTGATTATGCGTGGATAAAAATTGGAAGAGTGAAATATAAGTACCAGCTGAACATTGAAAATCTTATAAGTAAGTTAGCAAATTATCCTTATCACTAGCCTCAGTACCATTACAATTATAGATAGCTAACGTTGTAAATCTTAGGCCACAAATTGACCCATTTTTTTCTCTACCAATCCTGTTATTTACTCATCACATTGGCCAAACGACTGAGTTTACTGCAGGTCTCTTCTGAATCACGTAAATGCCTCTCAAACTGAAGAGGAGTCACTGATAGTTTGCCAATACCGCAGCGAGACTAATTTTTTTGTTTTGCTTTGTTTGTTTTTAACATTAATGTAGTTATTTGTTTTGAATGAAGTATGAATACATTTTATGACGACAGTGATAGGAAAGAGGCAAATAAGTTGATGCAGTCGCAATGTTCTTAATTTCTATTCAAGTTTTTGCCCTCTATGCAAATTTGTTGTAAATGTAAACATTTCTTTGGCACTATTTAAGATGAGACTAAATTTCAGTGAGAGGTGGTAAATTATTTGCTGAACAACTAAATAAACAAAAAAAGCTGTTGCGATGCAATAAATTTAATTTTTTGCACGAAATGAAACAGCCATTCATAAATATTGGCAATGTAAAAAAATTACATTATCGTATCTTGTTGGAGTTGTCGATCTGTAAAAGAGTAAGTTGTTACACTGACATATCCACAAGCTTGGACGAAAGATCTTAGATGTGCACGATTGTGCCTGAAACGCGTATATAGTCGTTCGGCTGGCTGACCACAGTACTAGTATGTAATATCGTCTCTTTAAATTATAAAAGGTCACCATGTGGGAAATTGAGAAACGTGCAGAATCGAGAGATTAATTGGTGTCTGAAGTTCATTGTTAGATTGGATAAGCTGTTGTTTTATTTCACTTCAATGAATTTCAAAGGTCAATAATTATTTAGACAAGAAACCATTTCTGAGATCACTTTGTCGTTAATTTATTCTCTATTCAGGACAACTCTTGATCACCTCACCTTGAAAATCAATGAACTTGTTTGCGTAATTGATCCAAATTAAAAAGAATCCATACAATGTTACAAAATCGACTAAAACTGTAGCGGCTAGTTCCAAGAACTACTTCTGATACATACAGAATATATCATTACTTTTATTTATCCTCGTTTCTCTAAACAGTGTTGATGGGCCCTACAAAACAATCATTTTAAGGATCGAAACAGTCGTTTTCGACGAGCTTCACTAACCGCTGCTTCTATTTTCACTTGAACCACACATTGAGCGAATCCGTCTATCCACATCCGGTTCGCGTTTGTTTTCTGCTTTTTGTAAAGCGAGCGGCTAATCAAAATGAATAACACTTAAACTGACTTAGACAATGGATGACTTTTTCCGTGTCTACATAGCCTCATCTAAACATCAGTGGGGCTGGCTGAATTCGTGAAAGTTGGCAAACCCATGAAACAGTCAGAGGGACTTAAGTGATCTTCCTAATTTTTATCAAACAAGAGGCTACACACGGAGTCTATATTCTGGCTGGACTTGCGGTTCAGAGGGAACGGATTGAAGGCCTTGCGGTACGTGTTTAGCAAAATCGCTGTTGAATACTTTACCTTGTTTACATAATATTGAGGGTTATGGAGATTAAGACTTTGGAACAAGTTGATGCCATAAAACTAAAACCGCTGGATGAAACGCGGGGCCTGACCTGAGTGCCACGGCAAAATCAACAGAAAAGGAATAGGTCAATTTGTGACTTACCTTGAGTCGTGGAGAAATCCAGAATGATGGTAACCATCCAACTCCGCAGAATAATAAACGCATACCTCGGGCGTTCCTCAAA